ATCGCGGTTCTTTCGTGGCAAGTAGTAACGATTTTGTATTCGTGAGACGTCGAGCCGTAAGTAGTAAGTATCGATCTTGACCGGACAGGGGAGTCAGCCAGACACACGGTTAGACTTGGAACGCCTGTATCTTCTTTAGCGATCTCAGGACTCTCGCACGAACTTTATTTCTTCGTTTTTCGTTTTGTTGTTATTTTTTTGTTTAAGAAACACCGTGGTGCCACACTAGCGTGCGTGGCGACACGCACAATGAAGGGAACATTTGTGAAACACTTGACGAGAGAGTGGTCTCTGTGTGTCCCTATTGTCTCTCCCGCATTGTGTATCGCAGAGTTTAGCCTGTGCAGGCTGGCCACCGTAAAGTATCACTTTCCAGGACGAAATTGTACCCCGAGATTCTATGAAACCTAATATGTATTACATTCATCTGTCGGGTACGAAAAGTTTTTTACAGAAAAATTGGTACCTTCGAATTGGGATCGAACAATCGTCCAAAATTATATTATCGAATCTCGGCTAAAGATTTTAAAATGACGTAGGACTACGTTATCAGGTAGGAATGTGTTAATATCCTATGCACGACCGTATGATCGACAAGGATCCCAGAAATGGTACTTGCACGATGGCCAGCGCGCGAGCGTCGCGTAGGAACATTGATTAGGCACCTCGTCCACGTTGAACGCTACAATAATCCACGTGTAAAATCCATTGTGTAGGCGCAAATTGTGAACGTACCGAATAAAACTTGTGAAATCCAATACCGTTGTGTTGTGTGAACCAGAAAACGGGATGAAAAAACAATCCGGACAGGCTTCGTAGCTAACGATCACCATTAACCGCTAGTCCGCTGATAGAGTCGGTCCCATGATACCCGCAGAATATCCTGCTAACCGATGATGCGACCCGTGAAAGAATCATTCTACACTCGAAAGTCAACGTGAAACGTGTGTACCGTAATATTCTCAAACCACAAGACCTCGTTTTCAATCGCATCAATGTTAAAGATGTGAACACAATTTAATTCGTGTGTCCGACCACTGCTGGCTATTTCTACTAATTATAATAATTTTTACTTATTGCAATAAGAAATCGGTTAATTTATAAACTTGTAGTTTTCAAATGATTATTCACTCGTGTTTATCGATTGATCGAAATAGATACCTACAGTAAAACTTATATCAGGGCCCAAAGACTGGGATCGAAGTGAAAAAAAGAGGGACTGAGCGTCGAGGGAAATCCCCCATCACTGTTGAGAATGAACACCGGATGCTTACGCTGTAGATCGTTTCGGGCACTAATTGAAATTTTACTGTACACGTTTATCTGGGATAATTCTAGTGTTAAACGACAATGAGATCAATTGAATAGAGACACTACCATAATTATATGTTATTATGTTCACGCATAAGTAGGACCAGCCAGCAATGATCGGACATGGCGCCAATATTCAAAAACACGAACTCTAAAGGAATTTTCAACGAATCCTCGGAGTGTGTTGTTCGACACTTCCGAATGATTTCTTCGTGTGGAATCACCTCGTTTCCGGGATTGCACCTGCATCTGAGGATACTCTGTGTACACCTTAACCTACCGAAACGAACCGGAAGGGTGGTTCGCGTGGGTGTACGACAATCCAGCAGACGCCCATGGCTTCCATATATGTATAAGCGCTCGTTAATTGTCACTGAACGCTTCTCGCAGCTGGGGTACACGATCCAGATGATCGTTTTCTCGGCGAAAATGATCGAGTAAATCCTTTACCTGGTTCCTACGTACGCTGTGTTCGACGGGACCAGACTACATTAAGAAAACTCCAGTCGATCATCGAGAAAAAAAAATCGGCCGTTATCGGCCGTTCGCGAACACACAGCAGAAAAATTCGTTCAAGTATGTAGATCCACGATTCAGTCGTCGCTCGATTCGATACAAGTAGATTCCCGCGATTCGCCGAAAACGATCGCGTCGCTTACAATTTCGAGGCGGCGACACGGCAGAATCGTTAAAAAACGAGGTTGCAGAATGTGGACGAAATGGAAGAAGAAGGAATAAAAAAAAACAAGCGTAATCAGGACGAGATGAAAACGGAGGAGACGGTTAATCCTCTTACGCCGCTCGCAGGGATTAAGCTCCGCGACGTTTCGACCTGTGTCGAGTCAAATGAGGGATCTCGAGAACCGGAAGACAAAATGTTTGTACGCGAATATACAATATATCAAGTTGCCAGAAGACAAATGGCCGACTCGTGCTTCCATTCCTACTGGACTTACAGTAACGAACGGGAAAGTGTCACCACTTTTCGGTTTGTTTCATTTCTATTAACGTTTCGCATCAATTTGAAAACTTTAATATTGCTTTAGTAATAAACAGAATCAATTTATCGAATTCACGAAATTGCAGTAGGATTGCGTTTTCAATTTTTGTTCATCGGAACACTTGGATTTATAGCTAGATCCAACTATTTAGATCGAAATTTTAACGACAATCTACATTGACGAGGAAACTCGGCTTCCGCTAGGGGAAAAAGTAGCGTAAGAAAAGAGCCTTCCACCGCTTGGTCTCGGGAGTTACTGAAATTTATGCCAAATTACCGGTTTAACATTTATTTCAGTACGAGAAAGAAATTTACAACTAGAAGGAAGCCCTATGCCACTTCATGCCTTAACAGAAGCCGACTTAACTCGTGAGAAAGTGACACTGTCTCAAAGTATTCCGCGAACAATTGCTGACCTTCAATAGCGATTCGTACGGATATTTGTTTCCCGGTTCAGCCTAACAAATCTCGTATAATATCGAAAGATGAATAAACAGAAAGAATACAAAAAAAAGAAAGAGGTACAACCGTTCGATACTTTCCTTAATCGATCAATCGTAAATGGAAGTATGTAGTCAGTCCTCCGCGGATCTTAATCTTCTGTGACGAGAATGCTTCACTCACGCAGAAAAATTTTATATCCTCCCGGCTTCGCCTAAAAATGTGTGTGTCATTGAATAACAAAAGACAGTATCTATACATATGTATCCATGTGTATATATGTATATACATATATATATATATAACACACACACACACACACACACACACCCAATGTCGTAATCTCGAGAACAACACCGACCGAGTGAGGGATTCACCGGAAGGGGGCCGTTCTCTCCCCGTTTCGATGTAGGAACACTTCTGGAGCGTAGATCCAGCATATTATTGTTACCACAGCAGTTGCTTTGTCGCGCTCGGTGTAAGATAGACGCGCCCAGCTCATTGGCCGGTCTACGATCACGACGATGGTGGTGGTCGCAGGGAAATTCCGAGGGCGAGGGTTCTTTTTTCGAATTTTTTTTTTCTCTCGATCACGTGGATATACCACGAGACAGACCGTGTGTGGAATCTTCCGACTTTTTTTGTATACATTTTTTTACTTACATGTGTATCTGGGATGTTCGATTCCGATTCGATTCTCCAGAAGAGCAATTCCTTTGGGTACCATACGTCAATGACACGTATAACGTATACATTAACGGCCAAAAGTATTAGACCAGGTCTGATAATCGAAGAAACAGGAAAATATTATTCTACAAAGAGTTAACGAATGTGTGAAGTGTTTTTATATGTACCGATTCCATAACTTTCATTTTATCGTAACAGAATAGCGAATTACTGTTCCATCAAATCCATGAACTCTAGCCCCACACGTTAGTGTATGCTTTATACATGACATTGAGGTGTTACCGAATCGAGTCGATCGTCCGAAGAATCGAATCGGAATCGAACATCCTTAATGTGTACACAGTAGTCTGCCGCTTGAAAATTCAAAGATACGTTCCGGTGTCGATACATGGAAACTCAAAAACTTTCCGAAGTGTGTCCACCGTAAAGGATCGTTCGTTAAATTTAACGATCGAGGAGTCATCGAAATCTTTGAACGACTTCTGAGAAAGCATTTGAAGCATTTAAACAAAATTACACAAACACCACGAATTCTTCGTTTGGTTTCGAAATCGATGAAAATTTGCATCATGGGTGGGTGGAGGGATGATTCGAAATAAAATAAATTCGATCTAACGAAAGATTGGAACATTGTTTCAGATGAAAATTCTTATTACGAAAAAGAAACGTGACAAAAAGGAAAGAAACGAGAAGTTATGTTACTCTTGGAACGTCCTACAAGACGACATCCGGTTTCAGTCTGCGGAAACTCGCTGTTCGCTCTCTGAATTCGAGAACAGAATGCTCGACAGGAAGGCAATCGGAAAACCTCGAGATCCCGTGTGTCTCGTCGATGTCGCGTCGATTAAATGGCGAGAAATTAGAAATCCAAAGATGTAGGCGGACACGTTGAAAATGAAATTCGAATTCGACGTTCGCATCGACGAGGACGCATGTTAATCGTTTCCATTTGATTGAACATCGCACCGGAGTCCAATTCTGCACTGGCCCCCTTCACCCCGAATGTCGCCCTTGGGCCCCGTATTTGGTACCGGAAGTCGGTGCGATGTGGCGGTCGAATTGAAAGAAGAATTTGTCTTCCTAAGGAAAATCGATGCTCGAATGGTTGTGTATTTTAATTAATTCTCTGATCACTTCCTGATAAAAACAAGTGTTTTTACGCGTTTCTATCGTTAAGTTAAGAGAACGTAATTTCGGTGATCATTTTATTATCATGAAAACCATTCGAGAATCTTGTCGTTGGAGTACTCGATATACATATTTAGTGAATATTTTGTAACACGTTCGGATAAGACGTTTTTCTTTTGATAGAGGAACAAGGTAAAAGGTAATTTATTCTTTTTCTTTCGAGGTGACTCGAATGGGGTTATAATTGTGGTTATAAATAATCTTTGGCGTAGGACGTAGAAGTTGATAAAAATTCGTGTATATGTAAACTGTTGTGCCGTACGATGTGTCGGTAAATGAGCCCCGCGAATCAATTTCGTTTCATCGATCGGCAAAAAACCGGCCGGTCCCTTAGGGTGCAATCGATTGATCGATAATTTGTTGACGATTCCAGCACGCCGTCAGGAGATAATCAAGATGACCGAGCAGCTGATCGAGAGCATCAACACTGGCGACTTCGAGGCGTACACGTAAGTAACACAACCATTACCACAACAAAATAAATTTTTGTAATCATTTCTGTAATCATTTCGTTCATCTGGAGTAACGCTTGTCGCACCGTGAATCAAGTTTCATTTAAATCCTGTCGAAGGATTATTCGGAAACGAATGTGGAAACGGAATTCTAATATCGTTTACACTTCCAGGAAAATCTGTGATCCGCATCTGACCGCGTTCGAGCCGGAGGCTCTAGGTAATTTAGTCGAGGGAATGGATTTCCACAAATTTTACTTTGATAATGGTAATTATGACTCGTTTGCATATCACCGCTAATCGTCAACGCCCCGCGCGTTGACCAAAGACCACCCCACCGCACCCGTTGTGTCTACGTTGTAACCGTTTGATTCTTTGATTTTCGATTTTGCGTATCGCTGCATGCTTCGTCGTTTCCGCGCCAGAACTCCATCTTTCCCCTATCTATCGGTGGGTTATTAAGAATCAAGGAACTTGACAAATGAAACATAACATACTGAAATTTCGCGCCAAACGAGAGATAATAAATGTAAATTAATTTGCGTTTTGATATCTGTCAAGTTTCATACTTAACGACCCAATGAAATCTTTGAAGAAAGATTAATCCTCGTTGCAGTTTAGAAGACTGTATACGTAAGAGAAAATTCATTTTCGCGCGGAGACGACGCCAACGCGTTCCTTCTTGTGCCAGCATTGTAAATCTCCGATCGATCGGGATGCACATTGTCGCGAATGTACATATACATATATGTATATCGTCGACTCAGCTTCTTATTGCACTTGTGGCTTAATCTCTCCATTTACTAAACACTACCTGAGACACTGACAACGGAAGGACCTCAGTTGTTCGACTTCGATAGTAGAAGTATTTTGCTCGTTCGGTCGAAACAAGCTTGCAACTTTTCTTCTACGTGTACGTTATTATTGTTATTCTGTACATATTACATTTGAATTTTTAAACGTTTAACGTGTATTCTCGGCAAAATTTTATCTTCTTTCGCACGTTTATTCATATGCTCTTCGATTTCGAAATTGTCGGAGCGTTTTGTTCTTTAGCCGTGTATCTTCTCCTCTTATGCTGTTCCCTTACGTTTTCCGTGTACACGTTGAGAGCTTTACCGGTGGCGCGACACGGTCTACAGACCCTCGAATAACGAGTGTTTCGTCCTTTTTCAAATCACCAAGCAGTCCTGGGGAAGAACTGCAGGGCCGTGAACACGACGATCTTGAATCCTCACGTGCATCTACTGGGCGAGGACGCCGCGTGCATCGCGTACGTCAGGCTGACGCAGTACATGGACAAGTGAGTTGATCTCAACGTTATTTTATCGCATTCTGTATTAGAGACTCGAAGATGGGCAAATTTATTATCTAAATGAACAACATTTCGAATAACGAATGAAGGATAACAAAAAAAAAGAAAAAAAAGAAAGTACTGCGCCCATTTCGAATTGATTAAACCTCGAAATTCACATTTTTATAATAAAATAATAATTCTCCTTGAATACGCGCAGACACTTGACAAACAATTCTATAAATCTCGTTATCTCGTACTGCTGTTGCCATTGTGTATCATTCGAATGAAATTATGCCCAACTCTCGAGTACCTAACCTGATACAATGCGTTCACTTTGGCAGCTTTTACAATGAGAAACAATAAACATTCCGATTCTGTTTGATTTCAATTTTTGAGAACGATATTTACATGGGACATAAAGTACGAGGTGCAACAATAAAGTTTCGAGAAAAATTTCTTTTTCCGTTAAAGTGGCAGCAATGTAAACAGTTGTATGTAACCCCCGCCGAGTACCCTAACCCCACCATCTACCTGAACGCGAAAGTTGAACCTCGTCAGTCGTTTCAGTCATTGTGCGGGTTTGTGCGCGTAAAGACGTATTTTGAGTTCCGTGTTAGGTGAAAAGTGGAACGCAATTTAGAAGAATTGTGACAAAATTCTAATTGGCTTTTTAGGGCTCAAAATCGATCATTACGTTGGAGCACCCCCGTATTCGAGTGATTAGTCTCCTTTATTTTATTTCGTCGAGTAAAAGAAGTCCGAAAATCACACTTAAATGAGACACTCTGTATACAGAGTAACAAAAATGTTCCAAGATTAAAAATTAATTTGGGCTATAGAGGATTAAACATGATAACCTCGGATCTATTTAATTTTCATCATAAAATTGTTAAATGAATTATTCTCGAAACTTGATTGTCACACGTCGTATCGTATCTTCGATCAATCGTTCTGTTTGTCTCGGGGGGATCGAGATTTTCGCAACAAGCAAAATCCATTGTACCGTGTCGAATCTACAAATCAGACCTTAACCGAGAAAATCGTCGCGTTTTTCAGGCAAGGCGTAGCGCACACTCAGCAAAGCGAGGAGAGCCGCGTGTGGCACAAGAGGGACAACAAATGGCAGAACGTGCATTTCCATCGAAGTGCGGTCACGGGACCGTCACCATTTTCCAACCAGAAGTAAATCGGCGGGACCGCGTTAGAGTTTGGGGGGTTGGGGGTTAGGGGGGAAAGAAACGTAGCGAGAAGGGCCGATGTGTCGGTGGATGCTCGTGTCGCGTTCAGGGTTGCCACCCAATCACAATATAAAACCCGGAGTGCCATCAATTAAAACAGTTATGAAATTCTTTACAGTTCGTGTAATAATTTAATTTTGTACAAATTTCAGCTTTTAATAAGCTTACTCGCATTCTATGTCTATCGTCACTCCAAAAGTTTTTCATAATCGAGAAGATTCCGTCGATATAACTATTATTGACTGGAATAGCTAATATACAAAGTGTAACAAAAATGTTGGAGGACCAGGAAATGGGAGACTCGTGAGGTGATTTGAAACAAGTTTCAGTCCTTAGCAAAAATGTTATCAGAGACTTTGTTAACGAGATATTAACGAAAAACGCCGACTAATCAGAGTGCGGGTCTGCCGGCCAAATTCCCGCGATAACGTCGGCTACCAATCGCAGCGCGTAGTCAACGTTACCCGGGGAAACTCGGCCGGCAGACTCGCACTCTGATTGGTCGGGGTTTTTCGTTAAGACCACGTTAACAAAGAATAAGATTTTTGCTTCGAAAAAACTTGTTTCGAATCACCTCACGGGTCTCCCATTTCCAGATCCTCCAACATTTTCGTTACAACCTGTATATTCAACAATTTTTTGATAACTCTACAAACGTGTACCATCGCTACCAAAAATTTTTGTCCATTTTTTTCCCACTGTATCTTTCTCAATTTCTATTTTTGTTATTATTTTTTTTACCAATTGTATCTCATCAAATAATACAATATATCGCAGTTTACTGATATGTTTAATAAATTTGCAACTTTCATTACGTTTTCCGTAATTGAAATTATCATCTGCAGTCTTTAATTTAAAAATATTTAGTTGCTTATAAATTGTCGTGTCACATTACTTTGATTTTTTGGTAAAGTGCAATAAATATTCTTCCTTATTGCACAATTCTATATTACAACTTGTTAAATATTTTCGTTTCTTTGGCAAAGACGAATTCATGCCTGCTTCTAAAAAACATAAATAAACAAATTGGTTTTAATAATTACAATGCTTTCATATAAAAACAACTTAAAAATCGCATAAATCAAGCAAATGTTCCACAATATTCTACAATTTTATATAACACTAGAGATTATACATACAACACTAGATATTATTATTGCACTTAAAGAATATACGACATACATTAAAATTTAGAACCGTAAACACATAATTATGACAGTCTCCTTCTTTTTACTTTTTCTTCTCCTTTAGAAATCTCTTTAGCTTCGCTATGATATGCCCAACAATAAAAATTGACGTTCGAATTCTTTGGGTATTCCCGCGTGAGGAGAAGGTATCCGGGAGCCTGGTTGGGAATCCCCGAGAACACGTACTTTTGTACTTTCGATAGATATCGCTGTCCGATACACTCTTAACATTTTGTATAGAGTGCATTGTTAAAGCAAATTATAAAAATGTTGTATTATCGCCTTTTTTTTTTTATTAACCCGGAGATATTTCTAGTAAAACCAGATCCCGGTGATTTGTATTAAAACCCGGTGTTTCCGGACGAAAACCGGAGAGGTGGCAACCCTGGTCGCGCCTCGACGCGTGTGGATGGAACGCAGTCGTGGGAAAAGAAAAAAACGGTACAGAACAGAATCGCACCCGTGCACAAGCATCACAGACAAGGCAACGGACAGCAGACCTACATCCGGTGAAATAGATAAATATATGGTGAGAACGCGTCTACGTATATTTATTTGCTGGTCGAGATCGAACGCACGTACTATTGCCGGAAAACTGAAAAACGCCCCGCACACCGGAATAACAGTCGTTCGAGAGATACGAGATTCGCTCGGCTATACCTGCTGCTCTCAAGCGTACTTATTACCACGTGGCACAGCCGAGGGAAACGATTCTCGCTGAAATTATCCAACTGGAAAGTCCCATGGAAAGCCTGTGTCATGTACGAAGAACTTCGTTCTGTCCTTATGCACGGATAAAGGAAACTCGAAGACGAAGATTGAATATAATAATTCTTCGAACTGTAAAAACATTAGGACTGATTGTTAGACCTCTTCATGGTTGAAACAAGATTGGGTATATTAACGATAAATCGAAAGCTGAGTAGCAAGAGGATCTAAGTAACGATAACATCTCTGAAGTTCATACATCCCAATGCACGATCAAAGAAGTGAAAACACAAAGGCAAAGGGAATGGCAAAAAGAAGAGGAAAAATCGACCGCCAGGACGGAGAAAGAAATTGTTCCACGTTTGAACAATTGAAGGCTAGAAGACGGGAGTCCGGTCGTTACCTAGTCACAAAGGGGAGTACGAGACCACCGGACACGCTAAAGCAGCTGCGTACTCAAAAATACTGAAAAGAAAGTAAGGAAACGGACTGGAATATCGATCTTCTGGTATCCAGAATGGGCAGAACGGGGCAGTTTTCCGAGGGTGTTTCAAGAGGGTGAAGCTAGGAGGAGGTGAATCTTTGGAGATGTCGGTAAACGGAGCGGAAATGTGCTCCGTCTTGCGTCGGTGCTGGGCATCGACGGAGGTGTAAACCGTCGAAACGGGAAGAAACGCGATTAAACAGCGTCAAGAAAAGCATAGGAAATACCGGAAGTCCGCGCGAGTACAAAGTAGCCAGCAGCCCCCCAAGGCGTGGTCGTAGACGGACGGCCCCACACGCAATCCACAAAAAGAAATTCGATGATGGGCGCCGGCACATCGGCATCCACGTATAACTTAGTTCGTACGATAGTCGCTGTACAGAACAATCTTCCATGTATAACTCTTCTTTTTCTTCGAATTTTCGTTCTCGTCTCTCGCCACGACACACGGTACCGTACGAATTCGCGTGTATCCGTGCGCTCACAGCAGACACAAAACGATCCACACTTCGAACACGCTCGTGCAGAGCTCCGATAGTACAATTATGAGGGATACTGATGAATCTTTACGGTGAAGATTGTGCAGGCTAGAAGAACCAATAGATAAAGGGAGGGTGTCTTAGACCGAGCATTCACTTGGAAGCGGTCTTTCGCCAAAAGATATTAGAAGTTTTTGTAGAGACAGTCTCTGGGGATTGTGTTATCTTGAGGTTTATTATTTGTCGAAGAGTCCAAGAAAGATTCAGGAAGCGATAGTTTCTAAGATTACGCACAGTGTACACTTGGAAATCTAGTTACAGTGAGTCTCCATTTATCACTTAATTGAGTTCCTTTCGAAGAATGTACTCTGTCATTGAATTCTACCCAATGTTCAGAATGTGTTTTCAAGATTCATCAACGTCTCCCCCATAATCAGGTATGTTTCGAACGGATATTGGGATTGTAGAATGGGTTGAAAACCATGTTTTTCAACGAAAACGGGTAGTGAAAAATGTACACAGAACATACACACATGCATACACACAGAACACACGCGATCGTCCGAGAGATAGGAAAGCGATCTTTAAACGTTGTTACCTCATCGTTAGGCGGTCTCGCGGCTTGGGTGACGCGCTGGATTCGACGCGCATGTCCCGCTGAGAAGAAAAATGTGTAATGTTCTCGTTTTACCGAGTCGATCTCGCGTCCCCGTGTACTAGCGCGAACGGAGAAACGTCTGGAGAACGCATCTGGACAGGCAGGCAGACACCGTAGATATAATTGCTCGAGTTGGGATCGAGGAGGTCATCGAGGTTCGCGAAGAAAAGCAGATGAACTGGATGAAGAGAGAACCTAGGAAAATAGAGAAGAGAAAAGAGTAGTATCTCTCGATGTCTGTCATGAAGAGGTCAACGATGAAAGATCGCCTGCTCCGTTTGCGTTTAAGCGATTAATAATTAATATTGATCCCGCTTCCCGTGTTCTTCGTACCGGACGCACAGAGAAGGCAAAATCGCTGTACGCGACCGAGCGAAGCAGTGTATGTATTTGGAAGCGGTACAACCAGGGGCGAGCAGTACGTATATATATATATAAACTTTTGTCTGTCGAATTTACCGTCATGGAACACGAGATAAAGAATCTTTCTACACGTTCGTACATTCTCTATTTACTAATATGACTTACGGGAGTAGATTCAGATGAACGGGAGATATACCTAATGGGAAGACACGATGGGGGTTTGGGATGGGGTTAGTAGGGAAGTCTCCATGCACGAGAAATCGGAGGAACATTTTTGCCATCTTGTTATATAAATATACATATATGTTATAACATGTACAAGGGTGCGCGCGCGCGCGCGGTCACACGGGAAAGATTGCACGCGCGCGTCTCTCGCCGTTTATCTCGAGAATTTCGTTTCGAAGGGAGGTTTATTTTAAAAATCAACTTTTTTTTTGGAATAGTGAGTCGGAAGTTTCGAAAGTTCATGGATTTCAGACTTTTTTTAGATCGCGCTGATTAATTCGATGGTTTAAAGATTGAATGTTCAAGGAACTGCAAACTTGAGGATTCTACCATTTGAACGGGTTAAAAATCAATGACTTTGAGAACTCGAAGATTTAAGAGTCGCAGAGTCCGAAGATTTGAAAATTCGAAAATTTAATAATTTCGTTAGCTTGAAAACTCGAAAGCGGTAAGTCACTGCTGACTTGATTTTTTTCGATTCATGTTCTGCGAACAGGTTTCCAATTTCTTTTGTTCTGCGAGTAACGCGTGTTCACACGAATGAGCGCGCGCGCGCTCACGCACCGCAACCTACCGCGTATGTATATTGATACAGAATTACAGAGAGAGAGAGAGAGAGAGAGAGAGAG